AATATTTCATAAAAATAAGTGTTAAGGTCTTTGTCTGCTACTCAGAAGGGAAAATACTATTTATAAACAAACTATTAGTTGATCATTAGTTAAATCTTATTTAACCAGCTCACTTTAACCTCATAAAGAGTTTTGATTATAAATTTCTGCATGTGTTCACCATACATTTCTGAAATACATAATGGTACATTCTTACTCTTTAGAGAGACAAAGGTACATTTTTTGTGCTTTATTTATGTTTTATCTCCAATTACATGACATGCCCTGAATTTGGTACTGGGGTTATCTATGGAACTCTAGCCTGGTAGAGGAGACAGGGACAGACAGATATTTATAATACAATGTGCTGACAGATGATGTGCTAAGTGCTATGAGAGCACAGAGAAGAGAATATCTAACTGTGCCTACATTCGATAAGGAGAATGGTCCAGTGGAGCAATGAATGCTTGGACTTGGTATTGGAAACTGAATAGGTTGGGTAACTTCAAATAGGAACCATTTAGAAGTCTGTTATACAAAGAGTCCAAGTGATTGGTAAGGATCTGAGGATGACACATAATTGAATTTATTTCATGAGAATTTCCATAGTGCTAATGTGTCAAGCCATGATCTAAGCACTTTATAAATATTAACTCAACCTGTATAGCTTATAACATCACTATGAGGGTAAGTAGTATTATAATCATCCTCACTTTATGGATGAGGAGACCAAGTAACAAACACCAAGACTTTTGCTTAAGTTAACAAAGCTCATGAATGATAAGGCTAAAATTTGAACCTAGGCAGTTTGGCTCTAGCCTCCTTCCTCTTAACCACTAGACCACACTGCCTTTTTGTATTCCAGAGTAGGAGTTCATTCTATGACTTGGGTAAACAGGTGAATGGCATTCCATTTATGGAGACTGGGACCATAGAAGGAGCAACAGATGTCTTTCAGACACATGTGGAGCTAATGAGTTCAGTTTTAGGTATGTTGAGTTTCAGATCCTTCTGCTCATTATTTTGCCTAGACCTGAATCACAACAGATAATTGCTGACTGTAGCTGATTATTTCTAGAGCTCTAGAAAGTGGGCTAAGTGTCAGTGTCAGTGCTGGTCTAAAGCTTCTGGGGAACCTGGCAGTGTAAGCTGAAAGCAGTGGCACACCACAGGAGGCAAGACATGTGTACTCACAGTCCTTCTGCCTACTACCTAAATTCCCTTAAGTCAGACCCCAATATGGGGCAAATCACTGAGACCTGTACTACCCTGAGTTTTTTACATAAGTTTGGAAATCTGCAGTTCTTTTCTCCTTTTTGTCTCTCAAATCCACTGCAAAGGTAAAAGACCTTTTACATTTTATTGAGCATGTTTTGAACAACGGTCATAATCCAGAGGTTACTGAGTTAGGATCATTGTGACAAAAATGGCAAATAAGTAAGCATCTAGAAGATTTCACTTTAATTCATTAAGAGAAAGCAATGAAAATAATATCTACTTAAGAGAACTAAACTCAGCCAAACTTCTGCCCAAACCCTCAGATTCAACTTTCGTTGCTGTCAGCTGGAATTATTCAGAAATATTTAAAAGAGGCAACTCAGTCTATGATGTATCATTTTGCGAGTGCCTTTTATCTGTTGCTTATTGTTAGTTTTATTTTTTCTCACTTGCCAGGGTTTGGAATAGGGTACAAGATAAAACAAATTTTTGAAGCAGGTTTCAAAACTTTGGTGGTTGTTGAATTCCATTCCTTAATATTCTTATCTTGGGAGAGGAAAGAAATAAAATAATTTCTCAACAAATAGGTAAAGTAAGTCTTGACATTTTGTCTTGTCATGAAACTAGGGGATGGGACAGGGAAAGGCAAATTGTTTTATGTTCGAAGAAGTGCTGTTTGATGTGCAATGGTTCCTCTGGGAATGTCTCTGAATTCATTCTCTGACTCTTAACTCTTCAATGTGCATACAGTTTTCTAAGTATCCATGATATAACACTCATTCAATAGTTTTCCCATTGTCCTAGAGCATAGTGAATTCTCCCTTAATTTCTCCCAGAAGTTCACAAGTCAGGAAGTCAGAAAACCATAGCAGACAAACACTTGTAAGTGTCTGGCAGAGTTTGTAGATTATATTAGGGGCATCTCTCTCCAAGTACGAGCTGTACCCATACAGAATGACAAGCATGTGAAACTACTCAAAACAGTGCTCCTAATACCAACACATGGGTTTGTATTTACGGTACTATATTACTATACTTGGAGAGAGTTAGTGACTTTTTCTTTTAGGGACTCAGGATTTATATATCAGACTGCACATAAGTCATCTTTACTAGGATGTCATAGATACTTCAACCTCAACATACCTAGTATCTTCTCTTCAAGACAAATTCTTCCTTTTAGAGTTTCTACTTTAGTTAGTGGCATCATCACGTACCTAAACTAGGAAGCCAAGAGGACCTTCCAACTCCTACATTTCCCTGATTCTCCATACCGATCAACCAGACTTGGCTTTAGGTATGATCTTCTAAACATCTCTCAAATACAATCTCTCTTCTCTATCACCATTGCCACAACGATTGCCATATTTCAGGTCCATATTACCTATCCTCTGGGCAATTGCAATTACCTTAAAACTAGTCTCAACCACTTCTAGTCTCTTTACCCATCCTACCTATTCTTCCTTCACTAAGCCATATGACCCAGCCATCCCATTACTGGGTATATACCCAAAGGATTATAAATCATGCTGCTATAAAGACACATGCACACGTATGTTTATTGCGGCACTATTCACAATAGCAAAAACTTGGAATCAACCCAAATGTCCATCAGTGAAAGACTGGATTAAGAAAATGTGGCACATATACACCATGGAATATTATGCAGCCATAAAAAAGGATGAGTTTGTGTCCTTTGTAGGGACATGGATGCAGCTGGAAACCATCATTCTTAGCAAACTATCACAAGAACAGAAAACTAAACACCGCATGTTCTCACTCATAGGTGGGAACTGAACAATGAGATCACTTGGACTCGGGAAGGGGAACATCACACACCGGGGCCTATCATGGGGAGGGGGGAGGGGGAAGGGATTGCATTGGGAGTTATACCTGATGTAAATGACGAGTTGATGGGTGCTGACGAGTTGATGGGTGCAGCACAGCAACATGGCACAAGTATACATATGTAACAAACCTGCACGTTATGCACATGTACCCTAGAACTTAAAGTATAATAATAAAAAAAAAAAGCAAAATTTCTAAGTCACAATCTTATAATTCCCTTTCTTAACCCCATCTCCCAGTGGCATCTAAATTCTTACATATGAAAGTTCAAGCTCCTCAGTATGGCACCTAAGGCCCTTTATGATCTAGCCCTTTGACACTGTGCTCTAGTTTTTCTTTATCCTCCAATAGTGAGGTGTCCTGAACCTTCCAAGGCGTTTCATGCCTCTGTCCCTATTCAGACTGAGTCAGTGCCTTCACAGTTACTATTTGAGTAACACTCAAAGCATCTATAAAGACCCCATGCAGTACATCCTAAATAGCTGTATGGGGTCTTTATGGATGCTTTGGGTGTTATTCAGGGAATTATCCAGGAGTGCCTCTTATCTAGGTTCCATGACTGTCATGTTATATCTATATTTTCCTTCTCTGCCAAGTTCCTTTGGTTCTCAGTAGAGTTCCATGACCTACTTAGTTTTTTACCTAGTTTCTCTTTAAAGCTTTCCTCTTGTTTTCTCACATCTGGTTCCAAGCAGGAAAGCCCTCAGGCAAGTGATACTCCATCCCTACATCCTATACCAAGTTCCTCATGTTAGATCCCAACAAGAGTCCATCTTGGTGGTGGAATGAGTTTCTGCCTTTGTACAACAATGCTGTCTCCACCCTCTATTAATTACAGATGCCCTTCATTGTCCTTCAAAACCCAGATCAAGCCAGGCATGGTGGGTCATGCCTGTAATCGCAACACTTTGGGAGGCCAAGCTGGGAGATTGCTTGGGCCCAGGAGTACAAGACCAGCTTGGGCAACACAGTGAGACCTTATCTCTACAAAAATTAAAATAAAAATAAATTATCTAGGCATAGTGGCATGTGCCTGTAGTTCCAGCTACTTGGGAGGCTGAGATGGGAGGATCACTCTGGGAGGTCAAGGCTACAGTGACCTGTGATCACACCACTGCACTCCAGGAAAGGGCTAGATCCTATCTCAAACAAACAAACAAACAAACATCAGCTCAAATGTCACCAACTCTGAGAAGCTGTTCTTGTCTGGATTAAGATAGTCATTCCCGTTTATCTGCAGCTGTATTCCTTGTACACATTTGTATTTCATTTATTCCTCTTTATTGGGTGATCTTGGGCAATACTTTTAAGTTTGCTGTACCTGGTCCGTAAAGATAGGATAAACTCTCACCATTGCTATCATATTGTAGATAGTGTGTACTAAGAGCTGGTGGAAAAAAAATGCTTCTAACTAGGAATAGAAAACCATGCACACTCCATGGCTATTTTAGAGATCAGAAATAGCATTTCTATAATTGTAAGTTTCAGTTATCCATGTGTAAATAATTGTGGCCCTGAAAAATTGTGGCCCATTGGCATAAATGGGTCCTCAATTTCACAAAATGCCTTACCGAACTTAAATAAAATTAGACAAAGAATGTTACTATTTGTCGATACAGATTATCTTTATACATCACAAGCAGTAAATGAAGTATTTATTCACACACTGGTCTCCTAAAATGAACTTATGAGTTGCCCTCGTTTGGTGAAGTGGTCTCTCATCTCTCCTCCCATGGTAAACTGAAGAGCTTATATTCATGATTTATAGATAGCATGCCTTTGCACAACTACATCCTTATATCAGGTCCTCCTATGTAATTCAAATATCAGGGAATCACATGAGGACAGCCCTAAGAATAATTCTGTTCTCTAAATGAAACAGATTCAAACATAAGTTTTCAACCCTTATTAGATCATTCAGCATCCACTGAATGGTCACCAATGACAATGTCCTCATCTTTTTCTCAGTCTTTGTTCTTCTTGCCCTCTTTACACTGTTTGCCATTCTTGAAACCCACCTTATTATTTAAAATATTTTCCTCTTGGCTTCTACAATTCTCAGTTCTCTGTTTCAAATCATGCATCTTCTGTTTTTTCATTTCTTCTACCTATGACTGTGGGTGCTTTACTTGCTTTATATCTTGAGCTTCTGCTTTTCCTTCTCTCTATCCTCTCCTCTACACTTGGAAGGGTGGATGACACCAAATCAGTATCTTCAGTCATGAACATCCCAAGACCCAGTTTGGAATTTCTTTCTCTCTGCTGGATATTTCCACAAAGATATGCCAACATCATTACTTTAAAGTCAATACTCTGTATCCAAAGCCAATAATTGCAACCGTCTCAAGAATAGATTCTCCTACCTCTGCTAGTGATGCCCCATGTTTCAGTCATACAGATATTTGATTAATGAACAAAAGTTAAAGAAACATTGGAAGTACATTTTTTCCCTCTGGTCACATAGAAGGCAGACAGGATTAGAAGATATATTTTTCATAACTTTTACTTTACTTTTTGAAATTTCTATCAGCAACAGGGTTAAGCTTATGTACAAGAATATTCAACCTAATAAATAGTTGTAAAAACATGTTTACAGAAAATATGTCTTGGCTTTTTAGCAACAGCAACAGGGTTAAGCTTATGTAGAAGAATATTCAACCTAATAAATAGTTATAAAAACATATTTAAAGAAAATATGTCTTGGCTTTTTCTTCTTTAAGGGGAAAATGAAAATTAGGAGAAATAAGGCACAAAGTTTTGTGCTTTTAGGTTTAGAATAGTATGTTTACACATTCCTTTTTTTTCCTCTCTTTTGCTGTCAATTTATTTATCAGTTAGGAATTCTTGGTTTACTAGGTCTCATTCTTAAGGAATAGCCTTTTGGGTTCCAAGATCTTTAACCAATGTCAATTTATAGATGAAGGTTTTCTAATACAAAGATCTCAAAGTTTCAGTTTTACAAAAATTTAAAATAATAATTTCCCTTGAATCCATACTTGCTAAAACAGTCAAACTCTCTCATCATTTTCTCCAGATGCCTAAAAAACAGTCAAACTCTCTCATCATTTTCTCCAGATGCCTAACAATACCCTACAAAGCTACTGTAAGAAGAGAAACTCCTTTGTTGCCCCTGCTGGTAGAGGTGAGTGTTCAGTTCTGCTGCTGCTCCTTAAACCCATGAATATCAGATGTGTAAATAAAACTCACAATTGGCTGAACCTTCTCATCCCATTGTTTAAACCTCACCCATGAGATGATTCAGATTGTGTTTACTCAACTGCAAACTATTTTCTGATCTCAACATAGAAAATTAGTCAAGCCAGTTGTTGGGGTTACAAGAAGATAGGAAGCTCAGAGAAAGTCTACAGAAAGGAGGTAGAAACAAGCAAGTTCTTTCCAGAATCTTAAAGTTCCATGAAATAAGGCTTTAAATTATGCAAATTAATAGTTTTAGCACTACAAATGTACATGGTCTTAAAATGTTAGCAAAGATGCCAGGGTAACTGTAGAAGGTGATTATAGGTCTGATACAGAAAACTTTATTTTTCCTCCTTTTAAAAAAAAAGTTTTTCCTCCTGTTTTTCTCCTAACAATAAAAACAAAGGGGTCAAAAACATGCCAAAGAATGATGAATTGAAGGAGACAATGCCATTTAGGGATCATTTAAATGTTTGTGTGGTCTTTCTGTTTTAATAATATTCAGATGCTCAACAATTTTTTTTTCTTTCCTTGTAATTTTAAAAATACAGCAGTAAAAGATGTAAGAAGCCATTGGGAAATCTGTCTGATGGTCAGAACTTAAGACATCTACATTTGTTTTCTTCTTCTCTCTACTCCCCCTCCCTTTCTTTTGGTCTCAGGATTCTTCAACATTTGCATAAAACAAATATTTTACAGTTCAGAGAAATTTTTAGTACAGTTTTCCTGTGCAAATTGCCAGAAAGCCTTGTCTGAGCAAACTGCTCAACTAAAAGTAGCACTATAGAGTGCTCCAGAATGTCAGTTACTATGAGACAAGGTCATCTACATTAAGTCTGTGATTTCTAATTTCACCTGAAATGGAGTTTGGGGTTGTTTGTTGATTTATTTGTTTTTGTGATTCTGGATCTATATTTTATTTTTAGCCTACAAAAGCATTCAGGATTGGAAATTTTCTTGTTTCTATCCAAGTAACACGTGTGGCTATTTTTCTAACAACCACTGATGCCGGATCAACTGAAGCAAGTCTATCAATAGTCAATCTCTATTTCAAGTATCAACATAGCTTCTGATAAAGATTATCTGTACATTACTAAACCTCTGCTTCTTATTAAAACTAGGAGTACCACTGAATTACAGATTCAAAAAGGTCCGTGGGAGGTTATTTCTTCCATTAACTGTTTGGACACAAGATTAATCACAGAAGTTTGAGTCACTAGATTATTTGATTTTAATACCTAATGCTATTTATTCATTTTGATTATTTTGTGGATCACTCCACTATGTCTTCATCAGGCATTTGAAACTCCTTAAAGTCTCAGGTATTTGGGTTTTCTAAAGTAAAAATAGCTAAAAGAGGCAATGTGTAGAATCTACTATTTTAAAAAGGAAAATTTTAAAGTTAGGCAAATGTATGTGCTACTGCTCCCAACTTACTCTTACTGAAGCCATCAGGCCAACTCAGAGACAGGAAGCATGCAAAGCCTGACACCTAGCAGTTTTCAGTATCCATCCGCCAAGTGAGTAGAGGTTGGAATCTCAAATCCTAGAAACGAGGGTCATTTTTCTCCTCCTTAGCTTTTTGAAGTTTAAGAGGTGAAGTAGCCCTGAAAAGTACTGCTTAAGCAAGATAAAGCTATCAGAATTGAACTTTTGATTTCTTCTGGGAAACTATACCTAGTTCATCTGAAGTGTTGTGTGAACTGCAGAAAGCTTCCACAGCTTGAAACTTCTCCCATACTGTTGTGCCTTACTACTTAGAAGTGCCCGTGCCCTCTTCAGCTGTGACTCTACTGACCTCAGGACCTCACTGAACAAGGCACGTGGGGACCCTTGCAGGAGCCCTGGTAATGCTGAAATGATCCTATTGTTACACTATTTATGGAGCAACAACTTTGTCCAGAGAATGACCTGCTTGGCCTCCAGTGCTGAGAATGCTGCTGATGCCACCGTGTAATGGCATCATTTTAGGTGTCCTCAAGGACAGAACTTCCCCTTTGGATAATGGAAATTAGAACAAAGAACTTCACAGGGGAATAAATATTAATGACTGATGTGACTTTCTTTAAGGAAGAAGAAAATATGCCAGTGTTTATTCCCTCCCGCATCATTTCCATAATTTGCTTTTTTACTGTGAATTTAGAGGAAATGTGTGATGCTGGTATTTTGTCTTCCTTGTTTGTTTGATGCTGGGGATTTTATGTGTTGTACACTTTACCCCTCACATTGTGTAATTTGCCTCAAACCTGCAGTGAAAGTCCTTTATTGGCATCTAAGAAAAAAAAAAGAAACGTGCTCTATCCAGATAAATATCAGTTGATGAAACTGACTTAACAAATCATGTCCAGAACCAAACAATATTTGTTAAATCCTTCAAATTTTTTATTCTAATATAATTAGTTTGAGAACAAAATACCATACTAAACTGTTTATCCCATGCAATATTTAGGATACACTTAAATACTTAAAAAATGTTATTTATCTGAAATTCAAATTTAGCAAGGCAGCCTGTATTTTATCTGGCAATCTTAGCAAGTGGTAAAGCAGAACATGTTGCAAGTGGCATGAGGGGACTGTGTCAGGGGTGACTGCTGAAAATCAGCCCATGTACCATCTTCAATACTCAAATCTTGGTGACTGATTTCCTATCCATGTTGAGATAGATGTATAAGACCTGTTATTTATCAGTGTATAGACAATCTCATTTCTACAAATGTAAAGAACAACAAAAATACAAGCACCACTCTGAAAAAAAGTGAATCATTTTGTCTCAGTAGAAATAGTTGAAATCATGGTACCTTTCCCTCTGAACATATACGGGACAACTCTTTTAAAACCATGTTAATTTTTATTAAAGTGTTTGTTTTACTTATTTTGAGAAATCAAATAGCAGTACAGTAATACAGGGGATTACTCTACTGTAGAAATAGTTGAAATTATGGTGCCTTTCCCTCTGAACATATACGGGACAACTCTTTAAAAAACATGTTAACTTTTATTGAAGTGTTTGTTTTACTTATTTTGAGAAATCAAATAGCAGTAGAGTAATACAGGGGATTACCTTACCGTCCCTACTCTGCCTACAGTAATACAGGGGATTACCATCTCTACTCAGAGTAGGGACAATGTCCCTACTCTGCCCTCCCCTACTGTGGAGCCCCACTTCCCAGAGGCAACCCACTTCTAATTTGTTTTGTTTTTCCTGGAGTTTACTTCCATATTTCTAGGTTGCATGCATAAAATGTTATTACTATTTTAGACAATATCTGTTGATTTTTGTCTATAAAAATTAGGATCTAGCTCCTTACACAGACCAATGCCTTCCCCCAGCATACACACATTCTAAACTCCTTCTCTGAACTCCTACCCATTCTCTTAATATAACAATCTTTGATTGAATAAAAAGGAACATCATTATTAAGATATAAATATGGTTTATAGCAGAATCACGTAGTATATATTATCTTCCATGTACAACTTATGTTTTCCCTGGAGTTAATAACAGCTTAATTTTTCAAAGCTTATTCTTCTATGTACTAACTCTAATTCACCCCTAAATTCTTCTAAAGAATTCTAAAACTCTTTTCAATATGTCAAAGTCAACAGAAAAGTTAGAAGTTCCATTCATCTTTTCATTAAGAGTAGCCTTTCTGAAGGCCTCTGTCCTCTTATTTTGATCTGGACTAGCTACTCTGCAGTCCTGCTACACAGACATTGGTCTATGATTTTTGTTCAATGTTCGCTTTTGGATTTCCCTAGTGTTTCCTGTATTGACTTATCAATATCCTAGATCCTCTGTATTCCTCTTTCTTTAATTAATTCCTTATATTGGTGAAGCATATTTTTTAGAATTTTGGGAGGAAGGATGCATGGGTGGTGAACACAGACTCCTGAGTATCATAGAATCACATCATTCATCAAAAAAATCTGCACTGATCATAAGATTTTTAGAGTTGGAAGAAATTTTTCCGTCATTTCACCAATGAGGAAATCAAGACTGATATAGGTGACACATTTATGAAACATATATAAAACTTATTAAGGTTACACATTTATGAAACATATATAAGACTATTCAGAAAAATAATTTAACAAATTCTTTTTAACTTTGAGAGGAAGCTTGTGACACCCTAAGCTACCAGGTTAAGCATGGGCAGAGGTGAGAAAGAAAGAGGTAAGCGTAACTGTATCCCTATTAAAGCAATTCTTCCTAACCACTACTAGTACAGGGCACTGGCTTATTAATAATGATCCTGAGATAAATGTATTTACTACATATTGCTGTAACTCACTGACCTCCATTGATTAATAACTAAAGAGAGCTTAAGACTTCTGGTGGTTCCAGCAAGCCCTTTCAATCTCTTTGAAATCACTTATAAAAGATATAAAATAAAAATTAAAAATTAAAATATTGTATTATTTTGAGGATTCACATGGCAAGGTTAAAGGGGTCTCAAAGTTTCTCTCCTTTAAGCAATAAGATACCTTCTTTTTTAACCTCTGACCTCCCTTTTCTAAGTACAGCTTTGATATCCTAGAGCTTCTCCCAACATAAGAAATTTTCAGGAAAACTGGGCACCAGTCATTTCTAAGGATCACTCCATCTTTATGAAGGAAAGTCCTGACATTCACAGCAACAAAAATGGTCTCTATCACAGGTAGGGAGCATAGAATGGGAATATTGTTTTGGTTGAGTCTAATGAAAATAATGTTGGACAGGCAAATGCCTTTGTAATTACACCACAGACTGGGCCTGGGTATGAAAGTGGAGGTTTTACCTTAAGATAACAAAAGACCTTTCACTATTAAGCAATAACATCAAATTTAAATATTAAAGAATTTTCAAAATTGTCTAATACAACAGTCACAATTGATTCAGAGGACTATGAGATGGTTTGCACCTAGTTCATTAAAATAGAACCACTTTAGCCATGTTAATTTTGGTCTGCGCTGTTATGAAATCTTTTTTCATCAATTCTTGAAGTGTTCCTGCCTCCATAGAATTTTCCCCACTTTTGAAATCATGTGTCAAATCATTTGTAATCTGTTAAAAGCTATTGGTGACCTTTCTTTAAGCTTAAAAAGAAATAATTCCATCTGTTGATTTCATCACTAGGGAATTCTGGAAAAAGAGAAATCTCAGAAGTAAAAAGAGAAGAAAGGCATTTTTACCTCTTGACCTTTGAAACTGTAATGTCATTTAATTGAATCTGATTTTTTTGTTAACAGCTATTTCATTGTAACATTTCTGGGAACTGTATTAAGTCAAATGTTCATAGACAAGCAGGTGTTTTCTCTCATGTTTGTGTGTGTTCATACTTTCCCTTTTTTTCTCTGAGTAATTCACTCTTACAATGTGCTCCTCATTTTTCACCTTGTGAATCTTCTTTAGTGAGAAGTTCCTTGTTTAACAAATATTTGTTGACTAAGTGGTAAACAGTTGAAGATCACTATTTTCCCCCTAGTAAACGCTATTTGTAGCTTTATTAGTAGTCATTTGAGTCACAAGACAAATAATGCTTATTTGTGAGATCTCCATATAAAAATGGCCTTTGCATTTGCACTTTATTTTATTTTAAAATCTACAAAGTAAAAACTAGTCTATGTCTGTATTTTTTTAAAAACTAAGAAAAATGCCTTTTAATCTTTATATCTTTATATGCCTTTTTATCTTTATTTTAACCATTTCTTGGTATCTTTATTTCTTTGTGTAGACTAAAAGGAAAGGTGAGAGAAATGTCTTATGGCATTTAACATTCTAGGATTTTTTCTCAGTTGCCTTCCACGGTCTACTAGTGAATATTTTAAACTCCCTGTAAGTTGTCAAGTCCTTTGCCCCCTGTGAAGAAGCATTGACAATTATAGACCAATTAGTGAGTAAACAGACCAGCTATGCTTACTCAGAATGGGGTAGAGTGGGGCTGGGGAAGAGAAGCACCATACTGTGAAGCTTCTCAGAAACATTAAGCTCCCCCTGGTTCCATCAGATAATTCAGCCATGTACAAGAGCTAGCTAGAGGCCTTCAACAGTCAACCCAACCAACCTTTCTTAATAAGGTTAGATGCCCATTTTCAGAAGTTAGCTCCTGGTGGGCACTTACCCAATGCAGTTTTGGTCCTAAGGGGCATCTGCCTGCAGCCTACATCCCTGTCCCAGGTTGTCTTCTTAGTATGACTGACACTGCCTCATGTTATACTCAGTCTCAGCCTAGCCTCCACTTCTTGTCTTGTTATGTGCTGGGATTCACATTCTCTGTCTGGATATGGAGAAACCTTGCTGGCTTTAGAGCATCACCCCCAGGGGTTGAGAGGAATGGCCAAAGAAGTTTAGGAAGGTCTACATTTTTCCATTAATTCTGAGCACAGTCATATTTAGCTCACATTTTCGGATAAAATTTATATATAATGTAATACACAGATGTCACGTAAACAGTTAAATGTTTTGACAGTGTATGCCTGTATAACTAGCTCCTCCAATGAAGATATAAAACAAAAGTACCCTTACGCCCCTCGGTAATCAACCCTGACCTCTACTTTCTGAGGCAACCACGGTTTAAATTTTTCCTATATTTTTGCCTGTTCTTGACCTCCTTAGAATAAAATCACATGGTATGTCAAAAAGAAACAATAAAAACCATCAAAATGGTAAGCTGGGTGTGGTTTTTGTGAACCACAGAGATTGAACGGAACCAATCTTCAGGGTCACTGATGACTTGGTAGCCACAGTAAATCCTGTTCATTATCTTAGGGGAAGTGTTGCAAGATTCCAGAAATGAAATGCTTCCCTGGAACATATTTCTTCTACTTAATTGGGGTACTACAGGATTATCCAAGTGAAAATTTTTCTATAGGTTTTCTTTTAAAAACTAAGCCTCTCTTAGGGTTTGTATGTCTCAAGAAGTTCAAGTAGAATCCCTTTATTTTTTCATAAATCATTCCCTAAGAATTCAACCTCTAACGTAAATGGGTATAACAGTGAGTGAGTAGCCAGTAAAGTCCCCCAAATGTTTATTTTATCCCCATTATCAATAGTTCAGTGATTATCAGGGTCCACAATAACTTTTTCACTCACCACCATTTTTATTTCCATGGCCTCAACTGAGGAATTAAAAGTACATATGTATATTTTGGGAGATTGTTGATGCATTGTTTGTGGAATCTTCTTGTGGACTAAATTGTTTTAGCTGTTGTGTCATCCTGAAAAATAAATTACATGTGTTTACAGTCTGGCATTTTTACAAAGCTGAGTGCTGGACATACTATTGTTTCATTTTGTTTGATTTTAGTCTGAGCTTCTAATATCAGAATATTCTGTCATAGATATAAAACATGCTCTCACTGACTATATGCTATTTTATATCTCCATTCCAGCATTTTTGATACTATAGGACACATTTTTTTTTCTTCCCTTTTGGATGGTACTCAGGCATTTCAGCTTGGTGTAGGTAAATCCAGATGAGGCTCCCTGCAGAAAATATCTTTGTAATCAGCTATCGTGTTCTGGGCTGGGATCAAGGAGGTATGAAGCTATTAGGAAAGAAAAGTTAATAATAATAAAATTCTGTTCCTTTTAAAAGAAAGCACTTCCGAAACTAAAGTTTAGTTAAAGTCACAGAGGATCAATATCAGAGGAGAAAAGGTGAAGTTATTCAACTAACCAAGGTAGGTAGGCAGCACCTTGGAAAGACTGTAGTCTTGAAAGGTGAGCCAAGTGAAAGTGCCACCTCCACGAAGGCCTCTGAGCCAAACTCTGCATCTGAAGTCTGTGTGTTCTCAATTATCTGCTCAAGGTCTGTGGGCTCCAGTTCTATGAATAGATGCTGGAAATGTGTTCATGAGAAACATGCAGACCTAGAACCAACTGGAATATCTACTTATAACACCTTCCTCAAACAAATGCCTTATCCCTCTGGCCCTAGAGACAAACAGTTCACGCCTCTCAGTGTGCTGGCAATGTCATGTCCTACAATTACAAGAGTTTTAATGTCAAAATGCGGCAAAAGGGTGGAGGAAGGGAAATGGTCAGTTGTACTACTCACCACTACTCTCAGGTCCAGTCTGTAGGAATATCTTCAGGAAGGGCTGCTCAGGATTTTTAGGCACATGGTGATAATAAAAAGCTGACCAACAATTTTTAGTTGGCTTTATTACTGTTTTCAAATTCCCTACAGAAAATACACCCTCTAATTGCCTGTACCCATAGCAGACTTCTCCCACAGATCCTCCCACTCTATAGCCTCCCTTTGGGAAGCCACTGCTGGATTCTCATAGTGGGGGTACCCCAGAAAACTCCACCATCCTCTTTCACCAAAAATTCCTCTCACAGACTTGCTAATTTTGTCTGCTACTTGAGGAAAGCTGAGAAATATAATGGTTTTCTGCCTGCAGGAGAACACAGGAGAGGGATGGATATTGTTTCCTTGGTAGGAGGTTAGGTAGGATTAGTCAGGGAAAAGAGTGTAAGCATGAAGGCTTTGATCAAGGTCAATAAAGTCCAAATGCTATGTCAATAATCATAGTATTTTCTTGATTTAATGTCAAAAAGAGGGAACTGGACACAGTGATTGTTGACTTGGATGCATTGCACTGACTTGTATAAAGTAGAAATTCTACATCAGGAACCAGTGGATCTGGGTCCTAATCCTAGCATCACCACCGACTTTATTAGTTTGAACAGATTATTAATAATTACATGCCTCAAGTTTGCGGGGAAAGAGGAACACTTACACACTGTTGGTGGGAGTACAAATTACTTCAGCCATTGTGGAAGACAGTGTGGCAATTCCTCAAAGACCTAAAGCAGAACTACCATTTGACCCAGCAATCCCATTACTGGGTGTATACCCAAAGGAATATAAATCATTCTACCATCAAGACACATGCATAGGTATGTTCATTGCGGCACCATTTATAATAGCAACCTAAATGCCCATCAATGATAGACTAGATAAAGAAAATATGGTATATATACAGCATGGAATATTACACAGCCATAAAAAAGAATGAGATCATGTCCTTTGCAGGGACATGGAAGGAGCTGGGGAGGCTGTTATCCTTCACAAACTAATGTAGGAACAGAAAACCAAATACTGTCTGTTCTCACTTACAAGTGGGAGCTAAATGATGAGAACACATAGACACATAAGGGGAACAACATACACTGGGGCCTATCAGTGGGGGAGGGTAGGAGGAGGGAAAGGATCAGAAAAAATAGCTAATTGGATCTAGGCTTAACACCTGGGTGATGAAATAATCTGTACAACACACACCCATAGCCTATGTTAACACATAGGTAAGCACAAGTTTACCTATGTAACAAACCTGCACTTGTACCCCTGAACTTAAAATAAAAGTTAAAATAAACTATGTGCCTCAGTCTCCTCTTTTTAAAAGTTAGGCTGATTATATCTGCTCTGTCTTTCCCAAAGGGTTGTTCAGTAACAACATGAAGATGACTGAAGAAGAACTGGGCAGTGGGCAACAAGAGCTGGAAAGAACCTTTCAAGCCTTTCTACTGACCAAGAAACAGGCCTCTTCAGCTGGTTTCTGGGCCTCCTGTTCCCAAAGTAAACAAATGACCTCTTACTAAAAGGTACATTCCACATACCTGTATTGACTTTAGAGTCTAGACATAGACTTACTGGTGTTTATAGCCTGTGAAGACTATAAACTGATATCTAGCTGAAGACATAAACTCATATTTTGAACCAAACAAGGCTGATACTTTGATTATCATAATCATTATAATTATTATTTTATTGAATATATTATTTTTATATGTATGAATCATACATATAGAAAAGTGTATAAATAATAAGGTTATAGCTCAATTTTTTCCACAACTTGAACACATACATGTAACCAGCACCCAGATCAAGAAACAGAGCATAAGCAGCACCCCAGAAACCCCCCTTGTGCCTCCTTCCAATCCTTCCACTTAAAGGTTACCACTATCCTGACTTCCACAGTCATAATTAGTTTTCCTAGTAGTCCTTTAACAGGATAGATATGCTACATCCATGGAAACGCTAATAGCTCTTAAAGATCAGACACTCATTTTTTGTCGAATGTGCTTCCCGATGAGTTAATAAAGAATGGGGGTAAAGTGGGTAGAGTACAGGGGCAGACACAGAAGAAAGGACTGGAAATTATCTTCTCCATAATTTTCTGGTTAAGACTAGTGTGTCATTTCCAGTAGGCATATGACTTTATACTTTAATATTTTTGGAAAAGAAAAGGCTTCATTACATTGGAACTATTATGTTTCTTTTGCCTCGGATAAATTGCAAAATACAATTTATAGAAATTTTTAAAGCATTTTCTGTGGCTTAACTCGATATTTGTCCACACTTGGTGAGAGTTTGAGACATACAATATAATATTGTCATCTTGGATTTTATTTTGAGGCCCTTTACCATGATATTCCCAACAGTACAGAATCCAAGTGCCAGATCTGGGCAAGATTACCAATATATTTCCTGGGTAGTGATGGGGCGTCGGGAACAGGAGGCAGGGGCAGGGAAGGGCAGGGTCTATGCACCAACTGCCTTTGGCCAGAAAACCTTTCCTTTTCCCCATATCAAACGCTCAACTGCATTCCATCATCTGCTGGGCTGGCCACAGCTGTGGCTG